TCAAGTTGTAGGTCTGGCTCTTTTCAGTCACCTGTTTGCTTTCAAAATTAAGGGAAAAACTCTCTTTTCAATTAATACATACAATCATACTCAATGAATACATAGAACGAGTGGATCTGTATACTGGACCAGGAAAAAAAAAAACTTATCCACAGATTTAAAAAAAAAAAAGAAAACAAACAACAACCCAAAAACATTCTTCTGGTAGAACTGGACTGTGCGGAAGTTACCCTGATTGACCAGGTAGGAGAAATAAACAGGAGCAGCTCTCCCAGTGCTGGTTCGAGAACAAAACAGATACAGACTCTCTTATCTCCAGTCCACAGAACCGTAGTTTAAATTCAAAAAAACCTGTTCCTGACACGCTAGCGACTAATGAACGATACACAGAACATAAGCGAATCCATTAGAAAACCTGGGCTCTGACTCCAGGGTAGTAGTAGTAGCTCTGCTGCCCGAACTGAAGGAATGTGGAGGTCAAAAACAACTTAGGTACAGCTTAAGAACAAAAGCCAAGGAATTCAAACTGAATTCTCTCATTTAACTCGCCCAGCTGTCTTTTCAGGTTTAGTAATTTTATTTCTCAACCTGATCATAAAATTACCAAACTGGCCCCTAATTTCCAGTAACTCAGTTATGTAGTTACCCTGGGCAGGAAGTAATGGGGATATTAAGAACAGTCAGTCAACAAATGTTCAAATGTGAGGTCGTTTAATGAACATTCCAACGTGAAGCATAAAGGGGCGGTTTGTGGCGGCAGCTGGCTGCGGGGGGGGGGGGGGGGGGGGGGAGCGCGCCCCACTATTTATTTGGAAGCTAGCTAGCTCTAACAAGAATTGAGCTTCCTCATCATGAACAGCAGATTTTAGGACAGGATGGTCCTGGTCGCACTTCCTCAAAATCAGATTTCCAGCTGCCCTCATGGTCTCGATTCAAAATCCTCTGCCCCACGCACCACTACAAATTGGCCTAACTACCTTATCGGTGGGAGAGAAATCATGCAGATCACCTCCTTCCTAACAGCTAGCACTTAAGAACTTTCTACTGCCCCCACAAGGAGGCCATTCGGTGATAAACGATCAAGCAAGCTTCCCTCTCCTGAATTTCAGAAATTTCTTGCTGTCTTTGTGTAACTCATTCTTTCTTCCACGTGCATTTTAATCTGGTTAACCCCCCTCTCCCACCCACCCCACCCCCACCAAATCTGGAGGCGAGGTGTACCAATCGAGACTCTTCCAGCCCAAGTTTAGTTTACATGCTGTAACTAAACCTTTCCCTACTTGGAGCATTTAATATGATTAGGATTTCTTTCATTTCAGCTCAGTAGCTGTTCTGTAAACACCTTCCAGGTTTTAACTTGTACCACACCTCAGGAACTCGCAAACTATTCAGGACATTCCAGATGTAGTCATTTAAATTAAAAATCTCACTGTACTTATTTTATTCTAGTCCAATACTCATCAGCTTCTACAGCGCTCTCAGGTTTCTGGTCCCTGTGTACAGTTCTAAAGCTTGAACATATATAGCCATTGTTCAGGACTTTGGCTTCAACTTTCCAATTCATTTACTAAACATACTGCCAGGGGGTTCAACTGAAATAAGAAATTAGCACTGAACCATTTAAAATAAGTCATCCCCAGCAACCTCAAAAAAACCTAAAACACAGGTCCAATCATTTCACAGTCCTAAAAAAGTCAGATAAAGTTTTTTTTTTTTTTTTATCAAGTAGTAGATAGTAGGCAGTCAAGAGTCGTTAGGACTACTCAAAAGTTCTTATCAACCACTATCATGTTTGTGACAACGGGAAGAAAAGAATGTAATTTTATGAAGTGGGAAAACACATCTTTGGGGACCCCTGAGGCTCTAATCAAGCGTCTCGGAATTAAGAGTGCTCCAGGGTTGGGGAAAGGCATCCCTGCTGTGGCAAAAACATGGCATTTCATCATAAATGTTGTTAAAAGAGAGAAAAGTGATTATCTGAAATGAGGAGAGAGGGCCTCTGCCGTCGCCAGGCCATTATATTCCTTAATGATTTCATCAGTTTGTAAGTGACTGGATGATGAAGTCTTATTTTCTGATTTCCTCTCTGAAGGTCCGATGGAAGGGACCCGGGCTGCTTTCCTTCCAGAAGTTCTGCTGCCAAAAATGGAGGCTTACAAAGAGAATGCAAATGAACCTCCACCTTAAAGAGTAAACGCAAAGCCGAGCACTCCCCTCTCCCCTTCCCTTCTACTACCTGGAGGGAGGAGGGGGTAAGCTGTTATCTACATAGATTCTTCAGGGTGAAGGGGGAAAATATTTTCTACAAATTTCATCAAAGTGGTGTATTAGTTCCTTTTTTTTGATCAGGAAGTGAAAGGGAATGATATGAACCCCAGACCACTGCTAAACTTCGATCTTAACAAGTTATTAAAAAACAGCAAAGGTCAAACTGCCAAGCGCTGGAAGGTGCTGGGAAGATAAACAGTCTGAACGAAGGTGGACGCTAAGGAAAAGTGTGTCCGTCCCCTGGAAAAGTCATAATCCTGCCCCGCTTCCTCCCCCAGCAACGCAAACCAACGTGGAGTCTAAAAGGGGCAGCCTTCCTCTTCTTCACACTAAATAATTAACATTCCAAACAATCAGATTATTAACCCTATTCTACCAAACAAGCCAAATAAATGGTGTGTCTTGTAGCTACTGACAACCGGATTTTTAAAGAAGTCACACTGCCTCTTGAAGACTTCTAGAACTGATTAAAAAATGGCAGCAATTTGGGGTGGCGGGGTGGTTTCCCTTCACTAGAACACCAGGATTAAAAACACACACGACTACAAGTCTTTGGGATACTGAACAAAACAGTATCCTTAAAAGTTCTTAGACACATTAACTAAGCACAAACCAGTGCCTTGACTGCTGTAGTTTTCAGACAAAAAGCAATTAGGTTATTTCTCTGCACTTCTCCCTCCAGACACGACAGGCCTTTTTAGAAACTCTAGATTATTCATTCTCAGAGTATTATCAAACTTAGTATTTTAAGTCTTATCTGAAATCAATCAAGGCATCCATCCATGGGGGGGTGAGGGGGTTACAGTAACATTTTTAAATGTACTTCTCAACACATACGAAAGAGAAGGTGCGAGGCCTCCCAAGTCCCCTACCTAGTCGCCAGGCCTGGCCGGCAGCTGCTGTTACCCTGCCTTTTCTTTTGTTGGGCTTAATCTCATGTCAACTCATTCAACCAACTCAAAAGCGATGAAGACATAATTGAATCAACCTGAACTAAATCAGACCTAGGCTTCTTAAAACATACAGCTTAATGGTTCCAAACGATCTAGAAAGCGAGAAGACCAGCTAGTATGTATGGAGCATGCAGGGGTCCATACCCCACACCCCACACTGGCCAAAGGACCACTGCAACAGCCCTGCATTTAGCACACGTTCAGGAATGTTCGTGCCAACGCTCCAAGCCCTATAGGCTGATTCAGAAAGATAAACTGAGGCTCCAGGAATTTCAAAGAGGAACACACCGCACCAAAGTCTTAAAACTCTAAAGTGACTATTCTTTACTCGGGGAAACAAAAAAAAAAAAGAGAAGAAATAAAGTGTCTGCTACTCCCTGGGTAAGCAGGCCACTGGGATCCCAGAAGTGGCCACTGGTGGCTCTTTCCTGTTCCTGTAAACTAAACCTTTAGGAAAAGTCCCCGCCTGCCTGCCCACCCCACCCCCATCCCACCCGCTCAAGAATGCGGCTTCCCGTCCTCGGTGGCCCTTCCCTGAATCCCAAAACCCGGCTTCCAACCTGGGGCCTGGACGTCTGTCCGGATCCCCGGGCGCAGGTACCGGCCTGCAAGTCTGGCCCCCATCGTAGCGGGACCGCCCAGGCCGCCCCAAATCCCGCCTCCAGGGGCCCCCAGCAGCGCGCCCCCTCGGCCCTCCCCATCCCGTGCCGCTCGCATTTTGGGGCCAAAGCTAAAGAGAAGAGGGCTCTACATCTGAAACTGCGCGGTTTCGCCACTCAGCGCCTCCTGGCAGAAACTTCCCTTTTAAAAAAAAAAAAAGAAAGAAAGAAACACTTATAGGCGAACATTTCAATCCTTCCTGCCCTTTAGAGTTACTAGTTCTGCTTCCAGCTGGCTTGGGGACTCCAAGCAGAATTAAAAGTTATAAAGATATTCTTTAAGCGTTTAAGAGCTATTTAAAAAGTTTCAAAAAATCTTTAAGATTAAGGAGGAAAAAAAAAAACAACACCTTATCACACACATCCAGGAATCGCAGCCCGTGCACCGCCTACTCAGGGATGGGCAGGAGCCCGGGAATCCCGGGGACGGATTTGGGGGGCGCCCGGGGACTCGCTGGGGTGCTCGTCGGGGTCAGCGGCGACGCCAAGCCCCTCCCTCGGCCCCTGTAGACGCGCCCTCCGCCCGGCCCGTGTGGACTGTCCCGGCCATTGTTTGCGGGGGACGCCTGTTAGGACGCATTGTTTTGGCTGTTCCCAAGTTGCCCCGGCCCCCCCCCGGGGCCATCGCGGGGGACCCTGCGCCGGCCCCCTCACCTCCGCCCGCCCCCCACAGCCAAGCCTGCAAACCCGGAGAGCCGCCCGGCGGAGCCACCCAACTTTTCCGGAACAGCCCCCCACCCACCCACGCACGCACGCAGCCCCCGGCTCTCTCCCGCCTGCCCCCCGGCCCGGGCGGGAGAAGGGGGACTCCCCCGCCCCCAAGCCACCCCGTCTGTCCCCGAGAGTGAGTGTGATGGTAAAACACTGTACACGCCGGGGGCTCGCCCGGCACCTCCTCACTGCTGGGTTCGCTCCGTAGCCGGGTGGGGAGGGGGCGCCCTAGAGGAGCGGAACCGAGAGCAGGAGCGGGGGGTCATCCGGGGAGGGGGGCGAGCTAACGAGCACGGGAGACTCGAGGGCGGCTCGGGGGGACTCCGGAGGGCGCGGCGCGGCGCCCCGAGGCCCGGCGCGGGCGGGGGGCGCGCCCCCTTTACCTGCGGCTCCGGCTCCTCGGCCATTTCCTCGCTCGGCGGCGGCCGGGACTGAACTGACACCACACGAGCCAGCCGAGGTTTGAATGAGGAGGGAGCAGGCGAGGAGGGGAGGGGGCGGGGAAGGCAGGAGGGAGGGGAGGCGACGGGGAGTTTCTCTCGGCCTTTTGTGCGGACACCTCCCGGCTTCCGCGCCCGCACCGGCCCCCCGAAAGAGACGGGGGGCCACCGGGCGCGGGGCGAAACCATCTCCCCGGGCGCCTCAGAACCCCGCGCCTTGAAGACCCCCACACACAAGGGAGAGCCCCCCCCGCCCCCACCCCTCCCCCGCCCGGGGGATTTGGGGGCCGGGCTCACCTCGGGCGCGGGGCTAAGGTGAGCGGGGCGGGGGTGCGCACGGGGGGCAAAGGCGCGGGCGCCCCCTACTCGTCCGCGCGGGGACAGTGCAGGCGCGGGGGGTCCCTAGAGCCGCCGGGGCGCGGCGCGTCCGGCGCAGGGGGACTGTTGGGTCAGAAAGTGCTCTGGGAGCAGCTGTTGCGCCCTCCCTCGGCCCCGGCGTCCGGAGATGCCCCGCCCCCTGCCTTCACCGGCCGCGCGGCCCCGCCCCGGGGCCCCGCCCCCAAGCCACGTGGGTCCGCGCAGGCGCGCCCCTGCCCCGCCCACCGCCGCCGACTCCGCCTCCCGGACGCGAGCGAGCGGACGAGCGCGCGCGCCGCCGTTCTCGCCTGCGATTCCCGCGCACGCGCGCGCCTTTCACCACCCCCACACACAGCACCCCCCGCCCCCCGCCCCACACACACACCGCCTCCCGCCATCCGGCTAAACGTGGCCCGCGCGCGCTCCGGCGGTTCCAGTGACAGGTACGCGGGGAGGGGGCCCCGGGGGCAGCGCGCAGGCGCAGATCCAGGCCGCAGCCTCGCCGCCTCCCCCTCCCTCGCAAGGTGTGCCCGGGCGAGGGAGGGGCCGGTGGCCGAACTCCCGGGTCCTCCCGAGTTGCCCAGCAAAAGCCTCTGCACCCATTTGAGCAGGTTAGAAAGCTGGGGGGCGAAAACAGATCTTCAGGTTTCCGTCGAGTGTGAGCAGAGCCGAGGAGGTGACACTATTAAAACGGTTTAATGAGTATCTTCATAAAGCTGTCCTGTAATTGTTTTCTAAAGGGGCTCGACTTGCGCCGCTATTATAAGTTGAGATTTCTAAACTTGGCCTGGGTTCCAAGAATCCCCTTGGCTTTGATAGAAACCCACGTGGATGACACCGGCCTCAAACTGGGACCGGGGGGGGGCAAACTAGCCTTGCCCCCCCCCTCCTTCCCACAAGCAACGTATTTAGAACGTTTCCTACCCTTCCCTGCTCACAAAAGAAGGAAAAAGGTTACGATTCCAAAGGCCCGTGTTCCCTCCTTTTAGGTTCGCCCCGAGGAGGAATCACAGAAGCAACAATCACAACCACCAAGTTTTCTGCCCCCAAAACGCAAACGAATTCAAATGTAAACAGAGCTAGGCAACTCCCCAAAAACAAAACAGCCAAATATTTTTTTTAATGCGATATGGGTGTATCCAAAATGGAAAAACTTAAAACCTATCTAGAAAGGCGCTTAAAGTATATATTTAATAAATGGGGGAGGGGGCCTATCTCAAGGCTCTGCCGCTGAGCAAGAGAGTCCTTAATAGAAAATGGGATTGCGAGAGACCGCTTCCTAGCAGAGGGGAAGAATTTGCCAAGTGTGATGTTTTGCTGTCATTTTATATATAACTACTAACCCCACATATGGTCTGGTTAGTCTTTTTTAAAAAGGAAGTGAACCAATGACTTACAATTAGCAGTGCCAGAAGTAAGTTCTTCGGCCAGAACTGTGTATTCCCCCCCCCCCCAAGCACACTGACGTTGATCATCGTTAGTTCTAGGGTTCCTTTTCTCAGGGGAGATAAATACCTGTCTTTCAAATATTTTTTAAACTCTTGTAAGTAGTCACATCCTAAAATGCAGCTCAAGGACACTCTTCATAAACAAGAAACTTCATTTAACTTATCAAAACAGCCGGCTTGCAGCACTGCTACAAAAACAAACTGTGAGCAAGTGGAACCTGGTTGAGTCTCCACATTAAGTGTAGCCTCACTCTACATGTTAATGGGTAACCTCTGAACTCTGAAACCTTGAATGCTGTAAACACAATAGCACTGATAGTTAAAATTCTAGTGTCAAAATTGAGCCAAAAGAAAAGTCCAAACTTTTCAGAAGGGATAGGGAAACAATCAAATGTTTTGACAAATCATGGTTTCACTAAGAACAATGAGGCTTCTGGCTCTCAGACCTTGTTGCTACTGAATTATTTTCTGAGCAAAAAACGGTTGTGCTTTTTCTCTGTGCCCTGACAAAGCTACCACTTGTGTTAGCATAATAGCATCCTATGGTTTGTTAGTTACTGTTTCTATCTCCTCCTCCCCACCCCACCCCAAAACCTTAAATGTTGTAGCTTTTAAAGCTGAAAGATAATTGTCTTCACTGATCTACCTAAGAGTTTTGTATGAGATCCTTCTGTTTGCGCAAAGAATTACAAAGAACCTCATTCCTGGAGACGTGCCAATAAAACTGGGAAATGGTTGCAAAAATTCTGCCAGTGACTGAGTGCTGGGTTGCAAACACGTACTGTGTTTTTAAATGGACACAGAATGAGCTGCATTTGCTGTAAGGGCATCCGTGAGACACCCTCTCCCCCGTGAAACAGGAAGACTCGTACTTAAGATTTACTTGGAAAGCATGTGTAGTTAAAACAATTAAAAATGGAAACTCCAAAAGTAAAGGAGAACACGAGGAACATTTGGTTTTTGTAATAGAAGCGGAAGAACTCATTATTATTCTATGAAATGAAAATAGAAAACCAAGGGACGGTCTGCACACACTTAGCTCCACCCACGGGTAATCCAGTTTTGCCATCATCCCCAGCTAGACTATCTCTAAAGGAGTCAGGTGCTGTGGGAGAGGCAGGCAACACAAACAAAGGCTAGAACCAGAAACGTCCCTTCCCGGAGAAGCTGATGCTCTGCACATGTTACCCGGAGAACGGTGGAAAAAGCCCCCACTTCACCTCTCCTTAATGTGACAAACATCAGCTACACCTCGTTTTTCACAATTATCCAAACAGACCGGCCCTCCTTAAGATGTATTTCCCGGCGTACGCTTAGAAAATTGCACCATTATCTCCGATTGAATCCTCGTGATAGGAGACCTCTTCATTTCGCTAACTTCTGGTTTTCTCTCCAGATGCTGCCTGCCACGCAGCCTTCTCGGATCTAACAGCAACACCCCAAACCCCTCTAATTTGCCACATTTAACGTTCATGAGAATCATCCTGGGAGATTTCACCTTCATTAGAAGAACAATGCGATATGATCTTCCTGTTTCACGAGTATTTATTTTACGGTGGAACTATTATAGAAAAACAGTTGGGGAAACTGTACCTAAATCCTTGGGGGCTGAAATGGAGCCAACATAGACACTCGACTTAAAACAATTCAGTGTTCAGAGCAGGAAAACCTGAAAAACTGCAGTGAGGAGTCAGTAGGGAAAGAAAATGAAAAAGTTAAGGCAGACCCTGCCAGCTCTTCGTAACTACAAAGGACATCTGAGAAGGAAGCCAGGGCAGCCCTATTCACACGACTGAATGCACTAAATTAAGTACGGATCACCCAACAACTCCAGGCAAAGCCACACTGCTCTCTTTTCGAGTAAGTTTCTTGATCCCACTCAAGTCCTCTCTCGAAATTGTAAGCCTTCTATAAAACATCGCCAATAATATATGATAAAAAATAAATTGCAGAGATCACCTTTCAGAAGTGGAGGCAGCGTCTGCAGCCTGGAGACGTCTCTGGAGTTTGCCAGTCCACCTGGCTCGGAACAGTACTGCAAGAGATGAGATTACTGGTTTTTCCAAGCAAACCGAAAAGGGAGGGGCCGAGCATAAGGCTCAATTTAAATCGAGGTTTAGATGCAATCACGACTTGACTGAATTAATCGACCTTGATGATGTGCAAAGAGCACAGTTGATTTTTAACTGTATCTGTCCCATTGCCCATCCACTCTTCGGGCTCGACTTTTGTCTTCCGCCAATATTCTGGAAGGTTTTCAAGGCTGACTTCACTCACGATGTAAATGTAAACTTTCTTTTAAAAGGACACGGCTCGGGCCGTCTGGGTGGCTCAGTCGGTTAAGCGCCTGACTTGGGCTCGGGTCTTGATCTCAGGGTTTCCGAGTAGGGGCCCCACATCGCAGGCTCTCAGAAGAGGGCCCGCTATGGATCCTCTGAGCCTCTCCCTCTTTGCGCCCCTCCCCGACTTGTGCTTTCTCTCTCTCTCTCTCTCTCAAAAATAAACAAACATGAAAATAAATAAATAAGCATATAATATATACGTATGTATTCATTACAGGTGTCACATAACTTTCAGAGCACCTCTTTGAAGTTTTTTGCACTCACCTGATATCCCAGATGGGAGCTCTGGCGTAAGAGGTGGTGGAAGAGGAAGGTGACTAACAAAGTTTATTGAAATTTGATTCCCATTCTCATCTCAATAAATGGATCCGCCCACTCACTCAAGCCAAAACCCAGAAGTCAAACTGTACTTCCTAGCTCCACGCCCCCCACATGCCCCTTGAATCTATTAATTGCTATCTTAGTACATCTTGACTTTGTCCACTTACCTCCGTCTCTAACACAGCACCATCACCTCTCACTCTCTCCTCCAAATATATGGACTGCGTAAGGTTTCTGCCAGCTTCTTCCTTCTTAAATTCGCCTTAATCCAAGCTCCACCCTACGTCCAGGAGATCTTTTACAGGGTAAATCGGATCCTGTCACCGCCCTGCTTAATGGCTTCCTAAAGCCTGGGGGTGGGAGGGGGGGAGTTAAAGAATAAACTCCAAGAGCTGGCTTCCCCAATTCTGTAGACCTGCCCACTGCCTAACTCTGCAGCCTCAGATTTTGGCAGCCCCTCCCCTGGGATTCTAAGCTTCAGCCATCAAGCCTTCCCTCCAACCCACGGCCTTCAGACCTCTGGCTCCCTTTGCCTGCCACCCCCTTCCCCTTCTTTCAAGATGGCAGCTTCTGCTCCTCCTGAAAATGGTTTAAACTCTGTGCCTACAGCGGGGAGGGGGTGGCTTCCTTCTGACAAGGTTACGGGATGTCTTCTCCCCAAGGGTCCTGTCTCCACTTTTCCAGTCCACCTTCTGAGACCCACATTAGCCTTAGAATATTATTTAATCTCTCTGGTTGCAGTTTTCTTATCCACCAAATGCGGTGATGATGAAGAGGCGGAGGAGGAAGGCCTTAAAAGTTCTCATCACAAGGAAAAGGATTATAACTATAGTGAGTGATGGATGTTAAGTAATCATTTTGCAATATATGCCCATATCAAATCATGATGTCGGACACCTTACCCTTCTACAGGGTATGACATATAGATATGTCAATTATATCTGAGTAAAACTGGAAAAGGAAGTATATAAAATTATTAATTATGTAAATACATATTTTTCTAGAAGACCCTGGAGAATCAAATGAGACCCGCTACAGAGCTGTAAACCCAGAGTTTTGCAGGGGTCAGTGGGGAGGCCTGGCATTCCTCTAGACACAGGAGACACGGCCTGGCAGGAAGCAAAACAAAGCATTTGCCCCTTTTTATTTATTTATTTATTTTTAATCTTTTTTAGTGTTTATTTCTGAGAATCAGAGCACAAGCTGAGGAGGGGCAGAGAGAAAGGGAGACACAATCCGAAGCAGGCTCCCGGTTCCAAGCTATCAGCACAGAGCCCCACACAGGCTGTGAGATCATGACCTGAGCTGAAGTCGGACACTCAACCGACTGAGCCACCCAGGTGCTTACCCCTCTTTAGAAGGAGACAAACAAACACATAGACAGCAGATATCATGTCCGCCACATATACTGATAGAGCTGACCCCTTCCGCGTCCTTGAAATACGTTTTCCCTTGCTTTGGAACCCTACATCCTATCGATTTCCGCCGCCCCCCCCCCCCCCCCCCCCCCCCCAGGTCCTCACTGGAGGCTCCTTCCTGGTCCCCTTCCTGATCCTCCCCGCTCCCTGACCTCCACACTTGGAAGTACCCAAGGCCCATTGCTGGTGCCTTGTCTTCTCTCTCCCTGTTCATTCCCTAGATGATTCCATCCATAGTCCAATGGCTCAAAAGGCCATGTAGATGTTTAAGGCTCCTAAACATATATTTTCCACCCAGACCTCTTCCCTCAACCCTTTTTTTTTTAAGTTTATTTATTTATTTTGAGAGAATGAGATAGGGAGGGGCACAGAGAGAGAGGAAGGGAGGATCCCAAGCAGGTTCCGCAGTGTCATGTCTCTGGAGCCCGATGCAGGGCTTGGATCCATGAACCGCGAGCTCATGACGGGACCCAAAGCCGAGAGTCAGATGCTTAACCAACTGAGCCTCCCAAGCGCCCCCTCCCCTCAACTCTTAAAACCTATGTCCAGGGGCTCCTGGGTGGCTTAGTTGGTTAAGCGTCCGACTTTCGCTTAGGTCATGGTCTCGCGGTTCGTTGGTTCGAGCCCCGCGTCGGGCTCTGTGCTGACCGCCAACTCAGAGCCTGGAGCCTGTTTCAGTCTGTGACTCCCTCTCTCTCTGACCCTCCCCTGCTCACGCTGTCTCTCTCTCTCTCCTAGAAATAAATAAAATCTTTAAAAAAAAAAAAACCTATGTCCAACTGCCTACTCCACCTCCTCTTAGACATCTGCCCATAGCAGCGATCAGTAGATGTGCTCACAACAAATGCACACTGACGAACGTCGTTAAACATGGCACTCAGCTGCCAGGAAGTCCAGTGGGAAGGGGAGTGAGACTGGGGTCTTTAGGTCAGTCACTAGGATCTTGGCTCCGTTTCTTCATCTGTAAAATGGGGATTCTAATGTTTTTTTGGTTTTTTTTGTTTGTTTGTTTTTTAATTTATTTCTGAGAGAGAAAGAGAGAGACAGCGTGAGCAGGGGAGGGTCAGAGAGAGAGGGAGACACAGAATCCAAAGCAGGATCCAGGCTCTGAGCTGTCAGCACAGAGCCCGACGCGGGGCTCGAACCCACGAACCGTGAGATCATGACCTGAGCTGAAGTCAGACACTTAACCGACTGAGCTCCCCCACCCCCCAGGGGGCCCTGGGGATTCTAACCTCCTCCCTGCCTGCCTCATTGGGTGGTTGGGTTGTTCGGGTCCAACCACAGGCGAGCTCTGTGCTGTCCACCGGCAACAGCATTCTCGTGGATCCTGAGTATCCACTCCACAAAGGGCTCTCCTCTCCCTGAATCTACCTGGGACCCTTAGCCTCAGCCTCCCAACAATACTTGTGTGAGTCCTGAGGCCCATACTTCCGCGGTTTGCTGGGAAGGGCATCCAGAATCCTTGTCTTCCCTTTTCTCCGTTCCCTCCTGTCTCTCCCTCCTGGGTGAGTTAATGGTCTAGCGGTTGTCTGTGTACTTGGTTAGAGATTGCATTTCCTTTTCTTTTCTTTTTTCTTTTTCTTTTTCTTTTTCTTTTTTTTTTTTTTTTTTTGTCTGAATCAGACTGTGACCTCCACTAAGAGCAGGGACCTGTCCAGACCCCCACCCAGCAATGCCTCCTGCATTTCTCTGCCTTGGGATGGGCCTTGCGGACCAGGGCACCCATGTTTCAAAGAGATCCTATGCCAAAAGCAGTGCGAGCAGGCCGAGAGGCTAGCTGAGAAGCGCTAACGTTTATTGAATTCTTAATGTGTGTTTTTACACTTTGTAACTCATCTAACCCCTCTCCTGACCCTGTGAGGTAGGGTTTATACTGTCCATTTATTAGACAAAGATCCCGGGCAGAGAGGGATTAAGTAGCTCTCCGAGACCCACAGGCAATAAAAGCAGCTGCCTCCTTTCCTGTGCAGACTCTGGCCAAGTCTTACCCCCACACCCTCCTGGTGCAGCCCCAGGACCTTGAACCATGCCTAGTACATAGTAGATGCTCATTAAATACTGGACAAGAAATAAGTAAATAAATAACTGTGTGCCAGGCACTTTCCATCCATCATTTCATGGCCTCATCCTAGTAACACGATGGCTACTTTTAATCTTGCTTTCAACGCAGAGAGGTCAAAGATGTGTTCAACCGATAGAATGTGCCCAGCGTTGTTTGCCACAAGCCTGGGATACAACTACGAGGAAAGTAAGCTCTACGACAGAGCTACCAATCCAGCAGAAGCACAGACAGTCCCCTCTCTGTCACATCCATCTTCTCAGAAGTCACACTGATCTTTTCAGAAGTCAAGTCTGATTACATCAGGGCCCTGCCTAAAACTCCCATGTCTCTTAGAATAAAAACAAAATCCCTGATAATGTGGCAGGCAGGATTTGGGGCAGGGTGGGGCGGAGAGGTCCACGACAACATTGGATTTTATCCCACCAACACGGGGATGTGACTAGAAAGAAACACAAGAAAACCTGACCCACTGAACTTCGAGTAAAGTGTTTCTTCCTGGGGAGATTATCCCCTGAAAAGGTGGCATCCTGGTAAAACAAGAAAACGTGGCAAATTGGGGGACACCACAGTCCATTTACTTTCTCTCCTGTGTGGAGGGCACGCTCGGAGAATCAGAGTTGTCCCGGTATTAGCCATACTCTAACCAATCTTCACCCCTTTAAGTTATCACTGCCTTTTCTTTAACAAGAGGAAACCGAGGCTCAGGGTGGTTAAGTAGCCCGCCTGAGGCCACCCAGCTAACAATTGGTTCCCCCTCCCTCCAGACCGCACTGAGGCCAACGGGCCATTTGAACCCTACGTCAAACCCCAGCTCGGTCACCAACAGAAATCTCACTTCTAAAAATCTCCACTGATGCACATTTCTCGACATCCTATTTCCTCCACGTTCACCAGTCAGCCGCGCGTGTCTCTGGGGCAGGGTTGAAACATCCTCACCCAGCCTTCCTCCCCACCCCCAATCCTGGAACAACAATATTTCACTCGGTTGCCCCGGGGCGAGCCCCTCCCACCTCGGTCCCTCCCTGTCGTTCTTGATGTACCTGCTTACTCTTGCTCCAAGTCTTCCAGCCTCCCCAGTGCACTCCGGATCGCCTTTGAAGGTAGGGAAGAAAGGTCATGCAAATGTACGTCCCAAAGGCAATTAGCCGAGTGCTTTTTTGCACACAGCTGGGAGGCAATAAACATTTGTGAAAATGATAAATGTCCTAGGGATGCCCGACTGGCTCAGTCGGTTGAGGTTGAGCGTCTGGCTCTTGATTTTGGCTCAGGTCATGATCCCAGGGTCGTGGGATTGAGCCCCATATTGGGCCCCATGCTTGGCATGGAACCTGCTTAAGATTCTCTCTCTCTCTCTCTCTCTCTCTCTCTCCCTCCCCCTCCCTCCCCCTCTCACCTCGGTGGTTCAGTTGGTTAGGCATCCAACTTCGGCTTCGGCTCAGGTCATGATCTCACGCTTCATGAGTTCGAGCCCTGCATCAGGCTCTGTGCTGACAAGCTCAGAGCCTGGAGCCTGCTTCAGATTCTGTGTCTCCCTCTCTCTCTGCCCTTCCCCCTCCCAGCTCGCTCTCTCTCAAAAATAAATAAGCGTTAAAAAAATTAAAATATAATACAAAGATTCTCTCTCTCCCTCTGCCCCACTTGAACTCTCTCTCTCTAAAGTAATTGAAAAAGAAAGGAAGGAAGGAAGGAAGGAAGGAAGGAAGGAAGGAAGGAAGGAAGGAAGGAAGGAAGGAAGGAAGGAAGGAAGGAAGGAAGGAAGGAAGGAAGGAAGAAAGAAAGAAAGAAAGAAAGAAAGAAAGAAAGAAAGAAAGAAAGAAAGAAAGAAAGAAAGAAAAGAAAAAAGAAAATGTCCTAGACTGGATCTCAACTTTCTATGCCTTCCTTACACGGCCCCTCAGAGCTATCAGTCAGCTTTATGGATCCTATCACCCAGCAGCTCTCCAACACACCCTCGCCTTTCAGCCTTTCATTCCTCCACCCGTCTTTCCCTCGTGATCTGCATAATAATGTCTTAACCTGGCCTCGAGTACCTGTCTTCTTCCCAGCCTAGAACCATTTTCTTCAACACCACAAATAAAACACCCTTCTACTGCCCTGCACATAAAGCTCCAATTTACTCAAATAAACCCTAGTCGCCTCTCTTAGGATGCAAAACTACACCATGGCCCCAGCCAATCTTTCAGCTGGATTCATTCCATAAATATTTATTGACCACTCCTTTGTCCCGGGCACTGGCTAGGTAGTAATTAAAGAGCGAGGTACAAAACAAATTGGATTGCTGTCCTCGTGGAGTTTATATTTCCATCGGAGAAACAGACATTAAACAAATTAAAACAAACAAAAAATAGATAAGCGTATAATTATAGTAACTACCCTGAAGAAATGATCACTCAGGGGCTCAAAGAAGCGTACATACCGATTGTCATTGCGGCCTTGCTTATAATCGTGACAAATAAGAAACAACCTATAAATTCATCAAGAGGAAAATGATCACAGAGACTATGATATATCCAAATTTAAGAACATAGACAGGGGCGCCTGGGTGGCTCCGTCGGTTAAGCGTCTGAGTTCACCTCAGGTCATGATCTCACAGTTTGTGAGTTTGAGCCCCGCGTCAGGCTCTATGCTGACAGCTCGGAGCCTGGAGCTGCTTCGGATTCTGGGTCTCTCTCTCTCTCTGCCCCTCCCCTGCTTGTGCTCTGTCTGTCTCTCTCAAAAGTAAATAAACACTAAAGGAAATTTTTCTTGATAAAAAAAAAAGAATAGAGACAGCAGTTAGAAAGAATGAAGTAGTGCTCCATGTGCTCATGTGGCTAAATCACCAAGACATTGTGGAGAAAATAAATAAATGAAACCACAAAAGTAACACAATAATATATTTTCTAAAGGAAATACATATATACATATTACATATGTGTATATATGTATACTATCTATAATATACACACATTTATACTGTACACAGATCAGAAATATATAGGCTGATCATTTCACAATATATGCAAATATTGAATCATTATATTGTACAACTGAAACTAATAAGTTATGTGCCAATCATGTTTCAATAAGTCAATAAGAAAGAAATACATATGCAAATGCACGAATAAAAGTTGGTTAATTCTCAAATATGGGCAAAGATCCAGGACCTTGCTAGCAACTAAATATTTTAATCTTTTAACATGTAAAACACATTCATATGTGACTTATATAACTAAAAATTAGCTGTCTATTAACATAGAATTCCAAATTATACTAAGTACCTGAGAAATTAAAAATGGAGAATAAAATACTTAGTATTTTCATATACTGCTATTTATTTTTTTATTTTTAAGTTTTTTAAATTTTTTAAAAATTTCTTTTTTTGAGAGAGAGAGAGACAGAGTGAGCAGGGGAGGGTCAGAGAGAGAGGGAGACACAGAAACTGAAGCAGGCTCCAGGCTCTGAGCTGTCAGCGCAGAGCCCGACACGGGGCTCGAACCCACGAACTGCGAGATCATGACCTGAGCCGAAGTCGGACGCTTAACCGAAGGAGCCACCCAGGCGCCCCCATATACTGCTTTTTAATGAACTATTCTCTACTTACCTTTCTCCTTGCTCTGTGCCCACGACCTGTCCCACCTTCATTTTGAATCTCCCTAAACCCACATGCCACCTATGTCCAAACGTCAATCTGTAGCCATCCTACCCATCCCCCAGAACCCACTCCAAATGCCCCCATGCTCTTTGTTCAGTCACTCTCTTTGTTCAACGCCTCCTTTATGACATGAGCCGGGCTATGCCTGGCCCTGGATGTTGTCCGAATGGACTACAGTCTTCTCAAAGAAAGGTAAGGCCAGTTTCCTCCAAACCACAGCCCTCGGGGAAGCACCCCCAATATTCATTCAGCTCTTCAATTTCATGAAGTAAATATGCTCCCTGGTTCTTCCATTCACTCATTCACTTACTGTCTCAGTCGGCAAATATTAAGACCGACTGTGTACCAGACACTGTTTTAGGTGCTGGGAATATAGCAGGAAAGCAAACCCAGCAAAATGCTGATCCTCACTGAGTTAACACTTAATATTGTAGTGAATTAAGTGATCAGTGCTACGGGGCACCTAGCTGGCTCTGTCAGTGGAGAATGGGACTCTTGATTTCAGGGTTATGAGTTCGAGCCCCACATTGGGTATTCAGATTACTTTAAAATAAAATCTTAGGGCTCCTGGATGGCTCAGTTGGTTAAGCATCTGACTCGTGATTTTGGCTCATGTCATGATCTCATGGTTGGTGGGATCGAGCCCTGCATCCGGCTTTGTGCTGAAGCAGTACAGAGCCTGCTGGAGACTCTCTCTTTCTCTCTCTCTCTCTCTCTACCTCTCTCTGCCCCTCTCCCCTGTTTCAAAATAAATAAATGAACTTTAAAAAAATTTTAATAAAATGTTTAGAAAAGAATTAAATGATTAGTGTTATGGAGGGGAAAAGAGGAACGGGTAAACGGGCCAGAGAGTAGAGGGAGTCGGTGGGGGTAATGTCCAATAGGCTAGGCCTGGAAGACTTCCCAGGTGCAGACATCTGAGTAAAGATCTGAAAGGGTGACAGTGGGAGCCATGTAGAGTTCTGGGGGGAGAGCAGTCCCAGGTGAGGGATCGGCATGCAAAGACCTTGAAGCAATATGCCCCGTGGTTCAAGGAAAAGCAAGGAAGCTGGCGTGATGTTGTGGCTGGCATGGAGCAGTGAGAAGACACAAGTCGTAAAATTAGAATGGAGGAGGTTCACACCATTTGGGTGTTGTACAGACAGGCTGTTACTCTGAATGAACCTGAGAGGCCGTGAATAGTATGAACAGAGGAATAACAATCCGGAGGAGGTGTGAAGAGTCTTATTAAACACACTGCTAAAACCAAGAGTCCTCTTAAAATAATAATCCAGATAGTCCCCTTTGCTGAAATCACTCAGATATGTAAGCGTGTCCGTATTTTCAGTACAACAGCAACGATCGTAGTAACAGTAAGAAGAGCTAAGACGAAGTGTAACAAAAAGGGAAAAATAAAACAATTTATTGAGCCCCTGCTATGAGCCAGAGTCTTAACTCCACACCTCATCTACCTGACCATAGTGTTTCTCATTCTCCTGATAACCTGTATACCGAAATTCATCTGGCAGATAAGGAAATCGTAGCCGTCAGAGGTTAACTCACTCTCTGCCTTGCTAACTTCTTTAACTTGCTTGAGATTCTACAACAAGAATGAAGTAGAATTCTAGCCCGAGCAAATTCCAAAGCCCATGCTGACTCATGCCCTTCTATTTGGTACTAAGCGGTTGACTTTGGCCTCAGGAGACAAGAGAATAATAATAGTGACCATTGATAAGTACTTCCTATGGGCCAAGTACATTAGCTGCACCATTTCTGGATACCCAGACGGAGTTGGTACCCGGATCGCCCAGATTAGAAGCCACACCTCCGAGTGGTGAGACGAGGAGCGAGTTAAAGGGCTGAGCTCTTGAAACTGGTGTCCGGGTTCAAACCAAGACCCCGGGCTACCCCAGTATTGCCTTTGCCATCTCCCTGGAGAACTTTTCCCACCCCCCACCCCTCACCCCTGCCTGCTGCCCTTTTACAGATGGAGGTGAGAGTAATCTCTGGCAGGTGTATGTGGAGGAATAAATAAGTCCTCACTAGTAAGATGCTTTGGGGAGAACCTGGCACACAGTGGGCATTCAGTTAGGACAGGCTAGTATCAAAAGACCATTGCCCGTGGCCACACGGGAGCTCGCCCGCACTCCAGACCAGGTCCGTTCTCGGCCGGTGCAGGGCCCTGCCCCGGCGGGTCCTTATTCTGGGTTGGAGCCGAGAAGCAAGAGTGATTCTATGAAATAAGAGTCAGAGCTGGACCCAAGTCTGTCCACGTTAGGAGCTGAGCAGCTCAGCTCATGTCAGCAAGGAGGCCCAATGTAGACACAGCAAGCAGAACTCTGGAAGAAAGATACCTCGATCCAGGTGATTCTCGAGGAAGCTGGGAGCCACCTGCCCTTCAGGGCTCCTCGGACATCTTCTCTGAACCGGAGATCAAGCGAGACCGGAGAGGCACCTGAAGGAGAGAGTCCGAGGTGAGCGGCGACAGGGAGGTGTGTGAGCGCATGAGCCCTCTCCAGCCACACCCTCAAACAGGATGTGCAAGCTGGGGAAAATGCGGGAGAGGAGATTCAGGTCAGAGCCACATCCTCGGTAGGTACAGGGTGACCAAGAAGTCAAAGGAGTCTAGACTGAAGATTAGACGCCTGACCTGGTGCTTCCTAGTGCGGGGGACCCAAAGCCAGCTACGCCCCCACTTCACTTCCAGGGGGTGGGCTGCTTCGGCCCAGCAGCTCCCCGAAATGAACATGCAGGTTTTCTCAGAAACCGGAACTGAATCAAACACGGTCCTCAGAGCCAACGTAGACCCAAACCCCGGCTCCCCGCTCAGCTGCTGGGAAACCTCAGCCTCCTGACTCGACTTGCCTGCCTCACCTGTACAATGGGAATGACTTCGCCTCCCACTGCACGGGGCCGCTTCGGAAGGCTGCAGGAGCTAATCACAACCCAACCTTAAAACGGTGCCTGGCACGCGGCCATCAGCTCAGTAAACATCAGCCTAAACGACCTTAGTCATTATTGCCTCCAAGTGTCTCCCTGTTCTAAAACAGCCCTTCCGCTTAACGAATCCCTTTGGCTTCTTTGACAACTTTAAAAAAAAAAAAAATGTGGTTAGCACATTTTGTTGACATATTTTTACAAATACCAAGCCCGCTGGTCCTCTTATAAATATTTTAAGAGATTATATTCTGTTCCCACTCGCTTTGAGGAACTACTTCGGAGTCACTGAGTGCGACAAAAACAGCAAGAAAGCAAAGGAGGATAATAAAACCTCTTTCCTGAACTTTTTCCCAAAAAACAAACAAAACAAGAATGTAATGATTCAGATTCTGGGCTTTTAAGAACCAGCTTTGCTAAGTATTTTCTTATCAAGTTCCTTCTTGTTCCTCCCCCCCCCCCCCCCCCCCCCCCCCCCCCCCCGGCCATAAACACACAGTAATGAGATCATTTCTTTCTCCAAAAAAAAAAATCTATCCCATAAATTTCTCCAAACCCATATAAATGAATTTTCTACAAGGATTTGTAACTGCCATGCTCTCTTCTTTAAAGAAAATAAGAGTGCTCTGAACAGAAACGAGCTGTTTCTGAAGCAGTTTTTATTTGAAGTCCACAAATAAGGACAACGTGTCCCCAAGGAAACAAAGTAGAATTTGGACGATAAAATGGCTCTGCCCCTAATCCTCGGTTCCCCAAGTGCTGTGAGGCTGCCTGGAGAGGAAGCGCATATGCCGTCCGAAGTCTGCTCGTTCTCAACAGTATTTCTGCAGCATCCGCTCGGCCGCATAGAAACAAGTAAGATGCCCAGCTTTTAAAATCAATAAACAAGTAAATAAAGGTAAAGTAGAAGAAACGAGCATGCTGACCGGATCATTCCTACCTTCCTGGGGTGGGTAGACAGCAGAAGCAATGCAGGCGCCCCTCCCCCGCCAGAACGAGGCTTCCCGTCTGGGTGGAAACTATCTCATTACCACATTTTCAACAAGTAGCCCCAGTTTCCTCGTGTAATCAGAGTTAGTCTGTGGTTGTTTGGCAGTCTGCGCATGCCGTGTTGTTAGAGCTATAGAAGATGTGTATTTATTTATTTTGCGATGACCGTATGACAAGCAGAAGCCCGCCTTAGCCAGTGATTTATAAGCGCTCAGAAAGGCACGGTCTTGAAGCATTTTAATAGAGGCGCTCTCAGCCTTTGTAAGTGGAAGTGTAAATTGGTACAGTCTTTTTGTAAACAACTCCGTGAGACAAGTCAAGGGCCTTACAAATGTTCATACATTCGGGTTCGGCAAGAACACTCCTGGAATCAGTCCTAAGGAAACAGCCCTAATAGAGGAAAGGGGAGTTGCGACCAAAGATGTTCATGGCCACAAGGTTTACTATAAGGGGAAGAAAAATACACACATAGTCCCTCCATGCGTGTGGGGAAACACACAAATAAAGAAACGGTTCATCTTCCAAGTTATCCCCGGCTCTTGCCAACAGCCATTTCGACATTGAAAAGCTGTGAAAATATGCCACTGGGAAAAGTTCTAATAGTGAGTGGGAAAATCAAGATGCAAAATCACATTTTTAATAAAATAGGAATCTTATTAGTAAGCAAAAGAGGAAGATACAGGTATATGTAAAATGGTTTAAATTGGTTTTCTTATCAGGGACACTTTAGTATGGACTGGGTATTATGTGATACCAGGAACTTAACGTTAATTCACTAACTGTGATAAAGACATAATGGGTTATTTGAAAAAAAATTGTGTATATATCCTTAGAGGCATATATGAAACACAGGAAGAGAACGACATGTTAGAACGTGTAATACTTAAACAAATTTTTTTTAAACATTTTTTTTAATGTTTTATTTATTTCTAGGACAGAGAGAGAGAGAGAGAGACAGCGTGATCAGGAGAGGGTCAGAGAGAGAAGGAGACACAGAATCTGAAACAGGATCCAGGCTCTGAGCTGGCAGTCGGCACAGAGCCCGACGCGGGGCTCGAACCCATGAACTGTGAGATCGTGACCTAAGCGAAAGTCGGACGCTTAACCGACTGAGCCACCCAGGCGCCCCTAAACAAATTTTTAAAACAGGAGAATTGAAGCAATGTAGTTAACTTAAACCTGCAAAGCTGGGTGAGGGGTATCATTTTACTATTCTCTCTACCTTTACATACACCACAAAATTTTTATTAAAAATGTTTAAGTGGGGGAGCTCATTCAGTTAAGCGTCTGACTTCAGCTCGGGTCATGATCTCATGGTTCATGGGTTCGAGCCCTGCATCAGGCTCTGTGCCGACGGCTCAGAGCCTGGAGTCGGCTTCTGATTCTGTGTGTCTCTCTCTGCCCCTCCCCCACTCGCATTCTGCCTCTCTCTCAAAATAAATATATAAACATTAAAAAAAAAGTCTTTAAAACAATTTCAGGGGGTTGTTTTTCCATAACAGGCTATGTATGACCTTTTTTCCTTACCTCCTATTTTTCTGAAATGACTTTTCTGTAAAAATAGGATGAGCTGGCACTCCCACAGAGATGTTGTTATTGCTGTGTAATAGTAGTGAGTCCCCAGAAGGCTGTGGTATGCCTGTGTACCTTAACCGAGCTCATAAACGGCCCAAATTCTCTCTCTGGGATAACACCCTTTCATCTAAGACTGTGCTGAAATATGATTGACTGATAAAAAGCCCAGCTGCCAGAGACCATTTTAAAGATTAGGAACCATTTAAATACACACACATAACACACACACACACACACACACATCACTTCTTGCCTCTTCAATGTTAAGTGGCAAGAGACGCCGGTTTTACTTCCAAAGTTTCATGCAATAATCATGTAAGCATCAAGCAGCACAGAGTTCCACATACCGCCAAGCTGACTTAGAAGGAAGGTTCCACATTCCTTAATTAGCAGCATCAGAAAAGTAGTACTTCCTGCACTGGAGTTTCCCATTTCATCCAGCTACTCACGGGCTCAATATACCCCACGGGTTCTCACAGAGGAGTGCCATGAAGTCTGGAAACAGCATTCTCTAATTTATCTTAGCCATTTCTTTTGCTCTGCTTTATTCTACTTTATTCCTCACACTCTTCATCTCTTGGATCCTAATTTTGGCAGATTGCAAGGGTCCCTGGTAGCATTATGCACGTCCTTCTTTGTCTCCAGACTTCATGGACATGCTGAAGATGCTGAGATCCCAGTTGGGAACAGAATGCATGAACACTTCGGGGCGCCTGGGTGGCTCAGTTGGTTAAGCATCCAACTTCAGCTCAGGTCGTGATCTCACGGTTCGTGGGTTCGAGCCCCGCATCGGGCTCTGTGCTGACAGCTCAGAGCCTGGAGCCTGCTTCAGATTCTGTGACTCCCTCTCTCTCTGACCCTCCCCTGCTCACTCTGTCTCTCTCTCTCTCAAAAGTAAATAAAACATTAAAAAATAAAAATGCATGAACACTTCACCCGCTTGAAAATACAGTTCTCTTGGTTATTAAGAGCCAAAAGATTCAAAGTACTGGACCAAAAGTTTCTTTTTTAGTACTAATTACTTAAATTAAGTTTCTGATTTGTATTAAACTTCTCCTGCACAACCATACAGGACACAAGAGCATGAGGAAGATTTCCAAACAAGATTACACGGTTTTCCAATGTGATACATTTATCATCTTTGAAAAGGCAGCATGGTTGCAACCTTAATTGAAATGTCAAAATTCTCAGGAAACATTCTCCTTGTAAACATTGGATTTAACTATTGTAACAATTATGTACTTTGAACTTCAGAGGTTTTGAAGAAATGTACAATAACCCTAAGCAGGTGACTGACAGATCTGACAGATACTTTAAAAAAAAAAAATACTATTTGGGAGGAAAAAAATACTATTTGGAAAACATTATTTTTGCCCTTTGAGGGATCCTAAAAGGCTGTTCTATGATGCAGTTTTCCATTTTTCCCTTTCAGTCTTTTCCTTTTTAAAAAAAATTTAAAAATGTTTTATTTATTTCTAGGAGAGAGAGAGAGAGAGAGACAGCGTGAGCAGGGGAGGGTCAGAGAGAGAGGGAGTCACAGACTGAAACAGGCTCCAGGCTCTGAGCTGGCAGTCAGCACAGAGCCCGGCGCGGGGCTCGAACCCACGAACTGTGAGATCATGACCTGAGCCAAAGTCGGACGCTTAACCAACTGAGCCACCCAGGTGCCCCCAGTCTTCTCTTTCTTAACCTATGTCTTTTCAAAGAATTCTTCTCCTCTTTGACCACCAGGTTGATAGATTTATATTTGCTTTCTAATTAAGTACCTTACCTGTAAGAGAATAGATAAGAAAAGCCCATAGTCTTATACCCCAGGAGAGAGGAAATGTTTGCCTCAGTGGAGATCCCTCAGGTATCTAAGAGGGAGCAAAGAAGTTCCACTAAAGTTCTTCTAAAGGCATCTTCTGGCATTTGAGAACATCTGATGCTGTTTTGTGGAGCAGACCGATCCCTGATTAGATCTCTCAGGAACGAAAGCCTTCCCTTCTGATCCCAGAGAGTAATGAATTCCTTGTAATACTACATGATAATTATGATGAGAAATACAGTTTAAAATTAATGCACTTTAAATAACAATTATGTCAAGTTGAATCCAGAGCCAAATTAAATCGACTTTGGCCTTTTGGTGTTCTTGGGTCATGTGAGAGCTGGGTTTGACTTTATCCCTGACTCAGTTTCCCCACTCCCTGCTTATATCACAGGACATTGTAAGGGACATAAAAAGTGCCCCGTGACTGTGGTATTGTCTTTTTGGAGACCTAAAGATGTGACATACATTTTTTTTCTTGAAAATAAATTTTCTAGGGGCACCTGGCTGGCTCAGTTGGAAAGACAGGAAACTCTTGATCTCAGGGTTGTGAGTCTGAGCCCCATATTGGGTGTAGAGATCACTTAAAAACGAAATCTCTAACAAAAGAAAAAAGAAAACAAAGCTGATACAAACAGTACCTCGTAAAACATGACCCTGAACCCAAGAAGCTGAGTCTTCTTTCACTTTCAAAGAAGTTGAGATTGAAATAAAAATTATTTTTATTCATATTTGGGAGACAGTATTCATATGGAAGTGAGAATTTTGCTCATGAAAAAAAAATGATGTGAATTCACTCTAAAAAATTTTGTCTACTTCCATTTCCATGCCTTAGAAAATAATCTCTATCCCCTCCTCATTTTTCCAAACTATCAAAGATTTTTATGGCTTTCTTAGTTTCCAAGTATGGTACAAAACATTCTAAATATATCAGAGAAACACTGGAATTTTAACCTGTAATCATTTAAAGTTTCTACTTTGACTACAAGGCACGCACCATCGACAGTATATTCTATTGTATTCTGTTTACATAGAATCCAGATAAATGGCGCCCACCTGGAGCTGCTCAATGGACTGACAATAATCTTAGAAAACGTGTAATGGTTTGGGTACAGCCACTGCGACCTCATCATCTAGCTGGGGCCACTGCTGGGGCCACGGTCTGTTAGATAGGACCTTCAAGCCCTGCTGGCCTTCTTGATATTTCTTGGCCTATCAGTGGATCATTAGTTGGAATATTTCCTTAGTCATAGAGACTGGCTGTTGGTCGGGATGTTGTCAGTAGGAACTACGGTTGAAGATAACAGAATGGTTATTTAGACATGAATGTGGAGAAAAAATCCACCTCTTTCTTCTTGGGGGCTCAAGCTTGTTTCGTTATTCTCTGATTCTTGAACTTTTCGTGCTTCTTAAGAGCAGATATCTGATTTATTTTTTAATGTTTTATATATTTCTGAGAGAGAGAGACAGAGAGAGAGAGAGGCAGCGTGAGCAGGGGAGGGCCAGAGAGAGAGGGAGACACAGAATCAGAAGCAGGCTCCTGGCTCTGAACTGTCAGCACAGAGTCCGATGCGAGGCTTGAACTCCCCAACTGTGAGATCATGACCAGAGCCGAAGTTGGACGTTCAGCCAACTGAGCCACCCCGGCGCCCCATGATTTCTTTTTTAAGCTTTCCTGTGACATTCGAATGTTTAAGTCTTTTGAAAATATTTACATTTTCCAACCAGCTAGCAAAACAATCTATATCTTCTATAGTTCTTAAGATTGGGAAAATAAGAGAAAGCTAGAGAGTTGGCAAACAAGTGTATAATAATCTGGCAAGGACATTCTTGAGCAAGACTATATGGGTTTGAGCCTATTGGAACATTTGAAAGCAATTAAAATGGGAGTTTTTTTCCCCTCAAATTTCTTTTTGTCCTTTTTACTTTCAGCACACAGAGGCATACAGCTGAAAAATAACATGACAAGTATAAATGAATTATCAAGACGATCAAGCCAAGAAGCAACTGCCAGAGGTCTTTATGGACTATTGGATGGAATGTCAATCGTTCACGTTTAAGTTTATTGAGGGGTCAAGACCGGCCCTTTAAGAAAAACTGATCACCTCCCTGGTATTCAAATTTCTATTTATTGACCTGACACTGAACATCCTGTACCATCTTCCAAACTGTGGGGAAAGACACTAAAAAGAGGTCTATGATTAAACTCTATATAAATGTGGGTTGAACACATGTAAACAGAATATAGTAGAAGCCACAGGAGATGAATCAGAGTTCTTCAAGATACCTCCACAATGAGCTAGAAGAAGATCCTTAGGTCTATGCACCTGCCTTATTTTAAATACGATCCCTTTCAAAGTTTACAATATCTCTTAGGAAAGATTACAGGGTATATACTCTACTATGCAGTAGACAAGTCCTTAAAAATATCTGTTTATTGTAGAAAATTTGAAAACTGTAGGAAATACCCCTAATGCTAACACCAAACGCTCAGAAACAGCCACATATCCTGTGTTGATGTGTGTCCCTGCACCTTGTTATTTTTATTCATTCATTCATTCCTTCCTTTATTTTCCTTGCACCTTTTTTTTAAGTGCATCATTTTTTAAAAATGTGCCATTTTTTTTTTAAATGGCATACTATTTGGTAGTATCCTGCTTTTCTTCATCTGATGGTTCACAGTAATGGTTTTTTCTCACGTGTTAAAAATAACGTCAGATTCTCCAATCACGTCTTGTTTTCTTTCTCTTTTGAAGTCTACAAAATACGAATGCTGTACAGACCCCCATCCTGCTCACCCACCCGCCTTCCGCACACAACTCCTCCTGGCCAGGCAGGATGGTGCAGAATCTCTCTGAAAAGTGAAACAGATTAAAAAAAAAAAAAAAAAAAAAGGTTTCGCTCACAGTTGAATTCAAACCCTAACAGGTAAAGACTTTCATACCAGGAAACTCTTCCCTCCCCCACCCCCCCCACTTTACCTTAAGATATTTCAGAGCAAATTGTCTGGGAATAAAGACAACAAAAGGGGGTATTCACGTTGTAAAGGAAAAGCAAATTGAGAGGGTAATTGTCTCCTTAAAAAAAAAAAAAAATCTTAGCTCTGGTCTTGGTGACTTGGAGGGAGGGCCCAGGGAGGCTAGAGAACCAGGCAGGATGGGTTTCTCTGTGTACCCTTTGTGCTTCCTGAATTTGGTATCAGAGGAGGGTATTAACCTCTTTTAAAAATACAGACGTACATTCTTTAAGTACAGATGTCTGACTTGCAGTCTGATCAAGCTCATTAAAGTAGAAAGATCCCACCTCTGTCTCCCAAGGCTCCTCACCTCCTTGTCTCACTTTCCACTTTTTGGAATCAAACTGCACTAAAAACAGAACACTGCTCCGTTTGGACCATGAGCAAACCGTCAGAGAAGCCTCCACGGTGCCTTCCAAAGCAGATTACGTCACCACATAAAATAGAGAAGGGTGATTTATGAAAGGAATCTCCATGGCATTTGTACTTTGTCTGTTTCCAGCCTGTTTCAGGCTTCTTGGGCCACGCCCGCCCTCGAAGATGGTGAATGGGCTCCTGGAGGAGGAACCAGGGTCCGATTTGCTGCAGCCCAGAGTGAGATGCAGGTGAGGGCCGCCTGAGGCTCCTTCCGGGCACCTGCCTGCGGATGTGCTCCCCCCACTCCTCCCCACCCCGCCGTTGGGGGCTGATGGAGACATTTTCTGAAGTATTTACTTAGACGCATTTCCTCCTGAGTCAGTATGGACTTTGCTCATCCCATTTCCTTGAAATAGTTCCACCTTACATGGGTGAGCAATTCCATGGGAGCACAGCTTCTCCCAGAGCACACCGTGGATAGTAGGTATTTACAGAGATGTAACACACACACACACACACACACACACACACACACACACACATACCATATTTGAGCTTCTCTTCCAAACGGACCACAGGTTCTTCTGGCTTATAGTAAACATTGCAAGATTTGTAATTTGATACATAGCCTGAGACTCTACTGCAGGCATCTCTCTCTCTCTCTCTCTCTCTTTTTTTTTTTTTGTCTTATTCTAATCAGACTGTGTTTATCTGGCTTGGAGAACCAGCCAGGGACCCAGGTCGTGAAGAGCCCAACCAGCCAACACACCAGACTCAAGTGACAAAAAGTCTGATTGCCCAAGAATGACCTGAGGCGAGTCCCGTGTTCGCCTTCCACGTTCTAGAAATCGTTTTTAATGGGTTTGGGATTCTTTCACACTAAGCACTTTTGGCTTGAACTGTCCTGGTGCCTTGTGATGAAGTTGTGTTTTGAACTGCGGTGAAAGTCGGGATTTTTCTCTTCCTCCTCTTCCCTTCCCCCGCCCCCCTCCTGCTTTAAAAACAAGATAAGCCCGGATGCAAATAGAGTTCACTGCGACCACCACCTTTCTGGTTCTCAGCCTTATTTCTCTTATTGCAGAGCCTGCCTGCACCCATTATTCGCTATTTGCATACCTTTAACATTAGAAACATTTATTCCAGTAATGAGTCATTTGAGAACATCTTCTGGGTGTACGGCTCAGAAGCTGGATTCAACAGCACTAACTCTGGAAGAATGGATGCCTTCTGTCTTAAAAACCTCAGGACTGTTTGTGTGTAGAGAGACACGGAAAGAGAGCGTTTCTGTCTTGTTTTTGTTTGTTCAACTTAAAGAGTGAAATGTGCTCAAATACATTAAAGATAATATTTGAGATCTATTTAGCTATATGCTTCATACCCTAACACATTATTCTGTATGAATGAGAACCTCTCATTCTGTGGGGAGAGAAATGGCAGCCTATGTGACTATAGCCTCTCAAAGAAGAGGTACTTTAACTATTTTTTTCCAGCTCCATTGAGATATAATGGATACGTTACATTGTGTAAGTTTAAGGTGCATAACCTGCTGATCTGACGTATTATATTTTGAAAGATTTTTTTAAATGGAAAAAAAAAAGGAGAGAGAGAGAGAAAGAGAAAGACAACCCCACTGCTTTTCTCAGAGAGAACAGGAAGCCTGAAGGAGGAAGTATGTGACAGTTTATTTTTCAACAAGCACACATTATCAAGTGAATGAAATCCTCCTGGAAGCTATAAAAAAAAAAAAAAGAAGAAGATTGGAAGGTGGCTGTGTTCAGGTCGCACAAAAAGCCTTTCTCGATATTTAGAACCTTTTTTCAAAGCTAAGTTACTAATGAAAGCCAATTATTGCACTTTTCCAAAAGGAAACACTGAGTCATTCATGAAATGATCTAAGATTTCGAAACTTGCTTACACCATTTTTTTCTCTCTCTCTCCTCCTTTCCTACCTGTGCCAAAAAGCAGGCTCAGAAAAGCCAACCAGTAAGTGTGGCCTGAATCCAGGGAGCAGGCCAAGTTCGCGAAGAATGGAGTGATTTGACAAAGACTTGTGATGCCGCTGAGGGTTCCTGTCTCACCAGAAAGTGCCTGCTAGCCTTCCCCGGGGTCCAGAGTGGAGGGGCCTCCTTCCCCGCCCCCCCGCCAGGGAGCCCGTGATTAGCCAGTTCTGGCACCATCGTTATTTGGCCATACCCTGGCCTGCCGCCAAGTTTCGTGTGGAACAACAAATGGGCGTGGGCCCAGATAGGCAGGCCCGTGTTCCAAGGAGGCACAGCGAACGCAGGGCCAGAGCCCTGCACGGTGCAGCCAGAGCCGGGATACAGATGAGTGTGCGTTTGGTGAGGACATACCAACTTCTCCATCCGCCTATTGACAGTGTTTCCATGGAGGCCACTAAGTAGAGTCCAAAGACAGTCAAGTGTGGGTCAGGAATAAAGTGCAAGTGACGTGGTTCTGATCCCTCCTCTCTCTCTTCTGTGGAAGAGGGTTTCCGGGCACTTTATTATTTTATTTTATTTTTATCTATTTTATTTTATTTTATTTTATTTATTTCATTTTTATTTCTTGAGAGAGAGAGCACAAGCAGGGAAGAGGGGCAGGGAGAGAATCCCAAGCAGGATCCATCCTCAGCGCAGAGCCTGTTACAGGACTCGACCTCCCGACCCTGGGATTATGACCTGAGTAGAAATTTAGAGTCAGACGCTCAACCAACTGAGCCACCCAGGTGCCCCGCAAGTGGCATTTATACTGGAGACTTATTTTTAAAAGCATGACTTTAGGAGCACCGGGGGGGGGGGGGGGGGGGTCAGTCGGTTGAGCATCTGACTCTTGGTTTTGGCTCAGGTCATGATGTCATGGTTCATGAGTTCAAGCCCCACGTTGGGCTCTGCACTGATACCATGGATCCTACTTGGGATTCTCTCTCTCTCTCTCTCTCTCTCTCTCTCTCTCGCTCTCCAAATAAACCTTAAAGGGGAGCCTGGGTGGCTCAGTCAATTGGGCAGCCGACTTCGGCTCAGGTCATGATCTCACAGTTCGTGGGTTCGAGCCCCACGTCGGGCTCTGTGCTGACAGCTCAGAGCCTGGATCCTGCTTCAGATTCTGTGTCTCCCTCTCTCTCTGACCCTCCCCTGCTCATGCTGTCTCTCTCTGAAATAAATAAAACATAAAAAAATTTTTTTAATAAACATTTAAAAAATAAGTAAATAAAAACATAACTTTAGATAACAGAGCTTTAACAATGATACTGCCAAACTTTCTGAGCAGGCACAGGGGAAAGCTCCCTTTTTCATCTTTACAAACACCTATAAGTCCGTGTAAATAAATAATGTGGACAAGGAAGCAGTGGTTTGGTCCAAACAACACAGGAAGCGCCTGGCATTGTGCCTCCTTCACACAGCACCCTATGTTTGCCTTGTACTTTTCAAAGGATTTTGCAGATACATTATCTTCACACGACTCTGCAAGGGGGTAAGGGGGGAGCACCCTTGCCCATTTTACAGATTAGGAAACCGCGGCCCAGAGAGAGCATGACCTTTCTAAGGTCACAGACTCAGGCAACCGCAGAGCCCCGACTTGGGTCCAGGACTCCTGATGGCAGCACTCCTCCTTCCCCTCCACCCCCCTCCCCTGTAACCAGGGTCTGTCTGAACTTTCCCTTCTGTGAGTCCAGGTTCTCTGAGCCTCTGCGTCTGTTGCTTTTACACGAAGCCTGTGCTTCTCAACTCCTAGGATTCCCGAGCAATATTCAAATCTTATTTCTACCCCCTCCTTGAAGCTTTGGGCCCTTTTTCACAACAGGGGATGTACCTATTTGAAAAGGAAGTGGTCTAGGCTCTGGAGTCAGTGTAGAATGACTTCCTCTTTTTCTCCTTGAATTTATTATGGTATTAATTTTATCCCAACACCTAAGAAAGAAAATCCCAGATTCTGCACCACATACAAGGGACTTTTTTAAAAAAACTCTCCTCCACTAAAATGTTACTAACAATCACCAGTGATTTAAAATTTCCTGTGTGTGCGTTTGTGTGTGTGTGTGTGTGTTTTTTTTTCACATGGTTTGTTTTTTTTTTACAAAGATATTTTTTTTCTGGACATTTAGGAGCCAACACATTTTTAAAAGCGA